ATTGAGCAGTATATGTTTCATGAGAAGTAAGAAATTCTTGCTTATAGAAGTTAAACTTTTTTAGGTCTGTTACTGTTGGTTGTGCAGATAAAGCATAATTACTTTCATAGGTCATTGGTACTGAAACCTTTTTGTTATTCTACTTAAATGAATAATAATCATTCTTTCAGTTATAACTGGCACCAACTTTCTTGAACCAGTTATTACAAAGAAGAAGAGAGTAAGAAGTAGCAGAAACAACTTCAATAGTAATTAAAATAGTCATTTCTTCAATTTCTACAAGAAGATCCTTAATAACTTCTAAAGAACATATAGAAGTACCTGTTGTTGTAACAATTAGACTAGTAGATGCTTGTTCAATTTTAAGTTCTAATTCTTTGACAGACTGATAAGTGATTATACTAATAGCAGCACCACTATTAATAATAGCTTAGTAGGGTCTGTTTCTAAGTCAGATGTTACATTTTACAAAAGTAGTTAAGTAGGCAATTGAACTAAGTTAGCATTTTTGGCTTCTTTGTACAGGTATGCAAACATAACTGTATAAATAAAAGGATTGTTGAGTAACTGTTTCCATTTCTTTGATGCTGTAACAGAAGAAGTAGAAGAAGAATCTTTATAACCAAAATAGTTAACATCTCTATAGTAGGATAAGGGTGAATAAAAACTAGTTTTTTTTCTATCACTATTATAGGAGTTTGAGTATCTGCTTCTTTCTCTAGAGTTTCTTCTTTCTCTAGAAGGGTTTCGATAATAAGATCTGTTATAACATCAAGAGCAAAATCTTTGATTACATCTATCATTTCTTCTATAATTATCTCTTTGTTTGGATTATTGTTCAGGTTATCTGATTCTACATTTTGCAATAAAATGTTCTGTATATCTACAGTAGTAACAATAATATGAATTTTTGGCTTGAGGCTTGTTAGTATTAGATGTAGCTGCATAGTTAGCAGATTGAGGTTAAAGTGGTTGCTGTTGCTGTGCTAAGTTAATACTAAGTTTGGCAATCTGGTTTGTTAACTGTTTAATAGCTTGGTCTGTTTTTGTGATAGTGTTAGTAGCTATTACATGTCTAGTTTCCTATCATTTTGCAGAAATAATAGCAGCATTTAGGTTAGCAGGTTTACTAGCTTGCATATTAATAAAGAATTCAAAGCATAGTTCTTAAATAAATAATTGTTTAGTAAAGTTAACAGAAAAAGCATCACTAGAATCAACTTATCTTTTCAATTGTCTAAAATAATTGACATAAATATCTACTATATCTGGGCCTTGTTTGATATCAAAAAGCTGTTTCTGCCAAATAGTTTTTTGTTTAGATATATGAAAGTAAAGCCTAAAAAAATGTTTAAAGCTTCTGTCTTGGTTAGCATTGTCATCAAAAATATTTGAAGTAGTGTAAAAACTTAGCCACCAATCCAGTGCAATTTTTTTTAAATATACAGAAATAAGTTTCAATTTTTGAACAGCATTCTACTTGTTAGCAGTAGTGGCTCTTTAAAAATCTTCAAGTCATTGTTTATAGTCTTAGGTTCTATTATCATAAAAGAAATCAGCCTTCATAAGAGCTTTTTCATTTCTATTTAGAGCATTGGTAAAGTTAGCCATAGCTTGTGCAACATTTTGTAAAGCTTGTTATGCCATGTTATCAAATAGGTCAAGAAGATTATTAAGAATAGATGAAAGTAAAAGAAGAAGTTAAGATTGAGATTAAATAACAATAGGTTGAAATTGGACAGCAATAGGTTGAGATTAAGGAAGAGCAAGTTGAAATGAAGGTGAAGAAGAGAACTATCTTCAAAAGTTTATTGTATTAAGTTAGTAGAAGTGTAATATAAGCTAGAGGTTTTTGTAAGATTTACAGAAGTAGTAATTTATTCTTCTGTTTCTAAATTATTAGTAAGTAATAAAGGGATTTGTAAAGTCCAATTAGAAGTATAATGACTTTTAAAAAGTTTGATAGATGTAACTAATTCACTATATGAACTAAGCTATCTGCTAAGTTATATAAGAAGGAAATATTATTAGTAAAAGTAATATTAGTAGTAGGTGGTAGGATAAGACTTCCTAAATTTCAAAGATGTTAATGAAATTCTTCTGATTCTTCAAAACTAAAACTTAGAGAAATATTAAAATAAAGATTAAAAGTGTTTTAGTATTCAAAAGATAAGATAGAAAGTTAAAAAATATTAATATATTTTCTAACTAAACTTAAAGCAATTGTTCTAGAATTACTAATATTTTGTTAATATTAACAACTAAAAATAATGTTTCTAATACAAAGATGAAGTATAATTTAGTTTGGATATAGGGTAATAAGAGTAGTAAAGTTGTTTTAAGTTTGAAAGAAATAATGTTGAACTGCAAAATTGATTTAGTACCAAGTTTAAAATCATCCAAAATCTAAGTAAGAGCTAGTACATTAAGGAAAGTAATACTAAAAACAGAATAAATCTGAATGTTATGCTTAAAATACATCTACTACAAAATAAGATCTAGTTAAGTGTACTTGTTAATGGTTTTGGATGTTTTGTTATAAAGTTTAGCAGCAGTATGAACTATAAAAGAAGATATGTATATATGTCCAAGACTCTGTTGAAATAATTAATACTTATTCAGATCTCTTGCTAAGATAACTAATACTCATCTAGATCTCTTAATAAGATAACTAATACTTATCTAGGTCTCTTATCAAGATAACTAATACTTATTTAAGTCTCTTGCTAGAATAACTTTTCTAATACATCTAGAAATATCTTATCTGAAGTGATTTGTTTTCTCTAGAAATTTAATCTTTTTTCAGAAGATACCAAATATTATAGATGAAAGGCTTCTTAATTTTCACATTATAATGATGATATAATATAAGCAATTTCTTAAGATATATGTAGTATCCAAGAAAAAAGTATAGCTTCTGTTAAACATTGTCAAGAAACTATACCCTTCTCTAAAACAGTTTGAAAAAGGTAATACAATACTAATAACTTTACTTTATTTTATTAAGAGGAGATAAATCTTGACTGTACAAATTATCCTAGAGAGAAAGTATCAATACAGTTTATAGTTAAAAGTTGTTTATTAAAGTAATAACAAGAAAGACTATTCTTAGATTTCTGTTTCTAAAGAATTCCAAGATGTGTTTATAATATTTAAAGAAAAAGAAGTATCTGTTACTTAATTACACTTGAAAAATTTAGCAGAGTTTATATAACTGTGAGTTAAGTAACTAAGTGACCAAGCAACTAAGTGATTAAATAACTAAACAATTAAGCTTTAAGTAACTAAATGACTAAGCAACTAATTGATTACTAAGTAATCAGAAGGTTCTAGCAACTAATAATTAATGATTACTAAATAACTAATTACTAAGCAATTACTAGTAATAATAATAATAATAATAATACAATAATGAAATAACTAATACTAAATAATAATAATAGAATAATAACTAATAATAATAAAATAATAATAATTCATTTTATAACACTATATTTTTATATCTAATCTTATAAGTTGTTTTGTAATATATATATAAAAATAACAAAATTTATAATAAAATTAATAAAATATTTTTTTAAAAATATATTTTATAAACAAACTATATTTTATATTATTAATAAATTATTATTTTATTTCAAAAATACTAAATATAATTTAATTTTTTAAACAAATTTGTCTAAAATATAGTTTAAAAAATAAGATTTCTATAAAGATATATATATGAAAAAGAATTAGTAAAAAAAAACAAATTATTTTTAGTAAATTTTTTTAATTTTTTAAATTAAAATAACTCTACAACTATTTAATCAAGTTTACTTAAAATTATATAAAATTAAAATAAATAAAAAATTATTAAATTTAATAAAATATATAATTGTTAAATATTTAAACTTAAAGTCAAAAAAAAACTTTTATTTAGAAAATTTTGTTTCTTTTCTACTAACTCCTTTCCATATTTTAAAATAATACTTTAATTATTATTAATTATAATTAATAATATTTTTTCTTAAAAATTATATTATAGTTAGATCATACAAATTTAATATCTTGGGTTTTCATAACATGAAACTTTTAAGCAGACCTGACCGGCCGGCTTTTTTTTTTAATTTCATATATAAAAATTTATTTTAAAAACCCACCTGATCGTTAAAACATATAAAAAATTTTTTCTACAAGTTTTCAAAATTTGACCCAACCGGGTTATAAAAACCAATTAATTTTGCATGACCTTAATAGCGATAGTATTTATATTTAGATTTAAAAATAAAAAATAATCAATATATAAGCCACACCAGTACAACTGTTTTAGTTTAAATAAAAAAAGAATTACTCAATAAAAAAATACTTCATAAAGACAACGAAATAGTTTAATTAGACAATTTGACATATTGGATAGCTAATCATTTGTTTAACTTATTTAAATCTAAACAGGTAAAAACCAGATAATCTGCACTTTGGCTTATCATTATAATTTTATTTCTTTATGACTTCACCGATCGAAACGATGTGTATTGTAAAATGTTATGTATTTGAAAAAATTTATTGCAGCATTATCTTGAATGTATATAACGTTATAATCTAATAATGTAATGGAACTAAAGTTGAATCAAAACAAAAATTGAATAATTCGTATAATTAATGCAAAAAAAAAATTGGGTTATTGCTTTTAACAAAAAAGATTATCGTAATTAATGTTAAACAGTATGGTAAAGAAACTCATGGTCTGCACTATGCAGATTGCTGTAGTGCGCATAACGCGTGTTATGTTTCTGTTTTGGTGATTACCAGTTACACCATATGTTCCCATTATCTTTATTTCGTCCTACCAATGTCCTACCATTTATACGGGCATAATTTTCGATTTATTTATAAGTAGAATCTATCTTTTTATTTCGAGGAGACGCGCTTAAGTTGTCGTAAATCAAATTTCTCCTAAGGTGTTCAATATTATTGTGTGAGTTTAAAATAATACCTTGCAGCACTCTATTAACACTTAGATTTAACCATGTTAGAGGTAGGGCACGTAAAATAATGATTTTTCGAGAAAAAAATGGGTAGCTTTTTTATCATAGTAAACAGTGATTATGAAATGTTTGAAAGCAGGACTTTTCGAAAATAGCCGACAAAGAAATTAATGAGGATAAAGACCTGGAAGCACTTATCGAACAACTTAAAAATGATCCGCTTGGCGAATATACGCGAAAAGATATCGATATTGTAGAGGTAAATACGCAATATTCAACCACGTAGAAGTTCATCAAAGCAAAAGAATTGATGAAACATTCGCTTATTTCAAGTTATGGTTAATAGAAAAACAAAGTATCATTTGATTTAGGATAACAAATCTAGATAATTAATTGATTGATCATAAAATCAGGTCGCAAAACGAATACGACTTGGCTTAGAGTATGCAACATTTAAAATCAAAAATGGATGGGAGAAATACGATGTCGCGACTTGTGAAATTTTGTTTGAAGAAAAAATACGCATAAATGCGATTCCCGTTCCGAAGATATTAGGAAGGATTAAAAGTGGCTTACCAACTCGTGAATATGAATTACCAATGGCTCCACAATATATGGAATACAATAATGAATCAGGAAATAAAGTTAAGGTTACAAACACGTCACCAAAAACAACAGCAATGAATGTTAAATTTGATATCGCAAACGATGCACTTCCCCACCAGCATATGCAAGATTCTTTTCGCTTATCCGGCTCATCCAGACTTTCTGGATCGAAAGCTGCCGCAATATATGAATATTTAGATTCACTAGAAATGGCATCACAAGAGCTATGCATTAACCAAGATCCGATGTCATCTTTATTATCAACTTCGCAATTTATTGGATCAAATAACTTCTGTGCACAAGATTTGGGACAATCTTTTTTGGAGACAGGATCATTAAGATCTATTGAACCAAGCAAATTAACCACTAGTAAATCTAAAAAATCACGCGACCAATCTTCGAAACACAGACGAAGCAGATCGTACAGAGCTAATGATAAAATTGATCCACTCATCAGACAATCAATTCATGAGCCTCATTCGATATCAAATCAAATGGAATCAAGTACAGGATTGTTGCATCAGCCTCCTGTTTTGATCCCACTCACCTCCAAGATCCCCGAACCCAGTCACGCAGGTAGTCACGTGATCAACCGAAATCCGGTAGTTTCGGAAGTTATTTTAAAGGCTTTGGAGGAAAATACTAAAAAAAAGAAAACAAAGAAGAGAAAATCGATTACCATGAATACCAGAAAAGGAAAGAATAAACGTTCAAAACCGACTCTTCATTCAACAAATGAAGATGTTGAAATGGATGATTTTTTTGGTGCTACGCAAAGTAGTCTGCATACTATGAACTCAAAGCAAACCATTAGTGAAAATTCTTTGACTTCACGAAAAGCTACAGTGTCACCAAATACTTTATTTCATGAACTTTGGGCAACTGCAAGCACAGTTGCACCACAAAAGACAGCTTCTACGTCTAGATCTCCAGGACAGTTATTCAATGAACTTTGGGCAACTTCAAGCGTTACACAGAAGGACAATACCGGGGCAGAATCAACACTTGCAACTTCCATGTCACCTGATACATTTCTTGATGAACTTCTTGCTGCAAGTACTTATGAAGACGATGACGACGAAAGAACACCAAAAGATAGCACTGCCGAATCTACCCAAACATTAGCGATGTCCCCCGGCACTATTTTCCGAGCTGCATTAGATGATTGGGCAGCTGTTGATTCTAATTTTCCTAATGCAATCCTCTCTCATTTGCCGAATTTGCCATCATCTCCTTTGGCATCTTCTCCACCACATACACCTTCAAGATTATCATCAAATGTTCCCACACTCGCCTCTCTTACTTCATCTTCGGCAAGGGTTCCCCTGACAACTACTGACCTTGACCCTCCAAGAACCCCTCCACATCAAATTCGTTCGGCAATTGATTTATCGACGCCTAACTCGGCATTTTCACTGAGTGAATTTATTAATATGTCTCCTACGCCAAAATAGCGATGGTAAAGTTAGTTTAGGTTCTAAAACCTTTAGGTTCCAAGTTGAAACCTAAGGACCAGGTTTTCATATAATAAGTCCAAACCCATGTTAAATCTGGTTTGGTTCAGATCCAAATTTTAAACTTGGTTCTCAATATTTTGTAAGACAAAATATAAACATTTATTATTTAATAAAAGTTAATTCGTATCAAGCTTTTAGAAATACATTTCTTGGCCTTCTAAATAACTTTATTTAACATGTTAATATTGACCTAATAAAATTTTATTTGATAAGGTAAAGCGGGTAGGTAGTATGGTGGAGTGGATAAGATGGCAGATCACAAATTTCGAAGTTAACGCTGGGTTTATCGAAGAGTCTAACGATTCTTGTAGAATTCAACTTATCTTACCAAGATGAATCGAAAGATAAAAAAAAAAATTTCGTTCATCATATAAATGTGATCTTTTTATATAAAGCGAGTAGATTAAATCTTATGCCAACACAAGTTAACTTGCTTGTTTTCTATTATAGAATTTAAATTTTAACATCATAATAACCCTTATCTTATGTTGTAATAAATAAAAATATATGAGCAAGGCGGGGAAATTGGCCAATTTTTTAAAAGATTTTTTTTACACAAAACCAATTTGGAATACGATAAGAATTATTTTTGACTTAAGACACGTAACTTCTTAAAATCTGTATTTTTCGGTATAGTCACCGGGTTGATGACCAAAATCCAATGTAGCTAAGGAACACCTGCAGATATTTAATCAAAAACTTTCCCAAACGTAACTTAATTCTAACCCTAAAGATTTCATTACACCTGATCTTTCGATCTAATTGGTAAAAATCACGAGGGGGGATTTTTGTGAAAGAGCTAAAAACCTTTGACTTTTGTAAGTGATTTGCATAGGTTTCAATTAAAACGTTCAATTATTCTATTCATTTGGAGATAATATAGTGAAGAGAACTTATGTTTAATAAGAAACTTTTTATTAAATAGTTTTATTAATAAAATTTCTGTTTTAGTTAGGACAATTTTAAGTGTTCCATATTGGCAAATAATTTTGTTGAAAATAAATTAAGCTAATGTAGTTGTTTTAGCATTTGGTACAGCACAGACTTTTGGAAGGTTTTTTTTTTGGATATTAAACTAGTTTCTTTTGGGACTAGGATTTTATTTAGTAATTAGGACATAGGAACTTGTGGCAAAGGCCTCAAAGGAGTCACTTTACATTAGAGAGTATAACTAGTCACACATATACTTTTGGTATCTAATTTAAGTAGCTGTTAATGGTTCTATACTGGTTGCCATATCTGCAATCCAACTAGAGACATTGGTTATTTAAACCTTCTGTACTGCAATCTTTACTGTGTTACTAGATCATTTCTGATATATAATATTAGTCAAAAAGGTTTAGATATTTTTACTTATATTCTTAGAATCTTATATCTTGTTTTATGTAATGTGTTTTTAGAAGCATTATTACTAGAACCTTTCATGTTTTACATATAGTTGACCTAGTTTTATATAACATGTTATAGTTACCTAATATTTGCAGTCACAAAGGTTACCTGTTTAACTACTACATTACATTATTTTTAACTTTATAAAGTTTATCTAAACCCCAGTATCTATCTTTTTAATTTCTTTTCTTTATCTTTTTATTATCTAACTTAGAATCTAATAAACTTCTCAAATTTTCAATCCAAATAGTCTGATATAATATACCTTTGATATTTTTTTTTTCTGATAATTTTAGTAGTCTGGTTGGTTATATGCTTCTCTATACATCTTGTTATTTAGTTACATATTTGCTTATTTTTTATTAGAGTTTTCTGAACTTTTATTAGTCTGATAGTATTATCAAAGGTTTGTATTATTTTCTTTAACTAGGAATTTTTAAGTAGGATTTTGTTTTCTCAGTTTCTTGATCTTCTATATTTAGTAGTCTTATCATGGATTTGCATTAAAATCTTATTTTTTTTTTTTTTTTTTTTGGTATTAAGGTGACCTCTTTGGTCTTTTGACTTTTATTAATTACTTGTCGGTATTGTGGTTCAATGAACCACTACAGAAGAGTGTACAATTGGCTACATGTGTAACTTTTCTATATTACCTATTTAATTTAAAATCTTATTTAATATCAGTTATTAACATTTTTATATATATATATAATATTATATTTTATATAGATGTTCTAAACTTCTAATAATAAGTAGAATCTAATTGGTTATATTCAAGATTACAGATATCTAAATCTAATCAATTAACAAAAGATGGTTTTTTGTAATATTGATTAATTTTCAAATTTTATTGTAGATAGAATTTGAATCTTAGACCTGCCATTTGGAAAATGACAATCCAATTATTATACTAGGATTGTCATTCTTTATTTTTGGTATTTTTTTTAAATATTAAGATAAATACTTATAATTTAGGATTTTATTAATAGTAGATTTGGCTAATAGTTGTATTACGACTACAGAAGGTAACTATAGAAAGAGTATACAACTAACTACTTGTATAAGTTTAGTTATTGTTTAATTTAAGTAATTCACTTAAAGGTTCTATACTAGTTGCTATATTTAGAACATACTTATATGTTCTTTATTTAAATATTCTAGTTTTTGTATTCATTTATCTATTTCTGTCTACCAATAACTCTAACTAATGCTAATGAAAATATATCATAGTTACTAAGTCTTTAAAGCAGTTTACTTATATAAGAAATCTTTGACCTTGTACTAAACTTTCTAAAATCTTCTGTATTTTATTCTTACAACTGATTTAGTATCACTATGTCTAAGACCAATATTTGCAGTTAGAATATATTATTAAACTGCTATGCTTTTGTAGAGTTTATCCTAATCCTAATACTGATTTTATAATATATCTTTATCACTTTGATATTTAATTTAAGTTCTATCAAGCTCCTAAACTAGATAGTTCAAAAAGGCAAGTCATAATTATATATTTTTGATTTAAATATTTTCTGGCATATAATCTTTTTCTTTAGAATAGATCCCAATAGTCTGGTTGGTTCTATTTAGTCTCTTCTCAAAGACTGGCTCTTTGTTTAGCTTTATAAGTTCTAGTTTTGTTTTATAGGTCTAGTCTTTACAGTAGCATTATTAAAAGTTCAGATTATCTTTTTACTTAGATCTTTTAAGTAAGCTTTTGTCTTTCTATTTGAAATTTGTAATTTATATGATCTAAGAACTTATTATAGGTTCATATCACCTAGTACCAGTTTGTATTTCTTCATATAATATTATACAAATGTCTAAACCTTCTAGTTATATTGATATGACACAGATTACAGATATCTAATTTCAACTAATCACAGAAGACAGTAAACTGTAATACAGAAAGAATTGCAAATTTCATTATTACTGAGATTTGAACTCTAGATCTGTTACTTGAGAGTTGATAACCTATTTATTTTACTAGATTATCATACTTCATTTTTCTATTTTTGAATATTTTGTTTTTTTTGTTTTTTTTTTATTAAACTAGTTTTTTGGAGACTAGAGCTTTTTTTATTCAGTATTGTAGAACACAGTAACTTACAATCCGATTACTTCAGAGGAGCTACCTTACATTAGAAAGTACATCTAGTCACACATACACTTTTGATGTCTAATTTAAATAGTTCACCTATATATAGATTCTATACTAGCTGCCATACCTGCAATCCAACTACAGGTTTTGCCTATTTAAAGCCTCTGTACTGCAATTCTTACTGTTATCATTAGAACATCTTAATTACACAATATCAGTCGAGAAGTTCTAGATGCTTACCTATATCCTTAGGACCTTTGCCTTATTTCATACAAATTATCCTTAAGACATTATTACTAGAGCCTTCTGTATTCCAAATTATAGCTAAACTTAGTTTACAATTCTTGCAAAGTTCATACAACTTTAATATCCTTCTTTTACAACCTTACTGTTATCTTATCTACCTTTGCAAGTTCTTCTATATTACCAATTTAGTTAGCCCTGCATGATACAACTTTATGCTCAGATCAGCCAGTAGTCAGGTTAGTGGACCCTCTACCTAGAGGTTCTTGCTCATACAGATCACCTGACTCAGGTTTTTTTCAGCAAATTAAGATCTTTACAGGTGGTACTGTCGAAAGTTATACTATCTTTTTGCTTAAGATTTCCAAGCAGGCTTCTAATCCAAATATATACTTTCTGGATTTATTCATATAATATTGCATACTTCTAAAGTTAGTCTTGATATAACCAGAATTACAAAATCTACAAACTTCAGATCATGAATAAGTTTGCTAGAATAGGTCTATTTTTTCAAAATCTGGTACTAATGAAAATTGAACATTGAACCTATAGCTTGGAGAATAACAACCCAATCACTATACTAGGATCGCTATCCTTTTTTTGGATATTTTTTTTTTTTTTTTTTTGGTATTAAGATGACCTCTTTGGTCTTTTGACTTTTATTAATTACTTATCGGTATTGT